TTTCCGTATGTTTGCTTCATTGTCTTTGTTAATATTATATGGCAATGTTTAGCAAAGATACGCTTGTTGTTAACATTTGTAGCACAAACTAGTAAACCTGACGTCACCATCGCATTTGCAGTTCTTTAGTTAGGATATTGTGTTAATTATGTATTCCGAAAAGGAACAAGTCTGTCTGTTAAGTTGTAGGGCTAAACAGTGCTGTTAACCTTTATTACTTCCAACTTAATTTCACCACCTTTTTGCTCGTAGGTGTTCTCGCCTCCTGCTAGTCTGCGATGGCCACAACTAATGGTGTTATTTTAGAACCTGTAGGACATAGATGCATCTCGTAATATTTTTATTTTATAGATTAATACATTGCGTTTCACGAATGACAATCCAGTAGCTGGTGATACTCTTTAAATGTTAATTGTTTTATTGAGTTGTTCATGTAGTTCGTTCGCTACGCGACTGCGAACAATAATGCGGCGGATACTAGGTTGGCTTTCTCCTCAAAACTTCTCTTAGTGACTACTAATTTTCTGGAACAAACGGTTTCTCCATTCCGCTTTGGTGCAGCCGGCTGAAAAACAGGTAGCAAGTCGCGGACAAACAATAAAGCTAACGTGGCATTTTGGTGTGGTCATGCCAGAGTGCGCAAGATGTAAGGTCTTGACCTACCTGTTAGCTGACAAGAGTCGAAAATCCATGTAAACCGGAAATATACCTGTGACAGGTTAGACCTGTAAAATGCTGCTTAAGTCTTGAGATGGGAATTAGTTGTTAATAATGAACTCTTCTTTAATGCTCTGTCATCGTCGTTGGTGAAAGTCCGCCACGGGATTGTGAGAAATACCATCATTTTCCTTTCTCGTTCACCGATGGAAAACATTAGTGCATGTGTTTTTCCTTCACCAAAAACGTTCCGAAAAAGAACGAGTTATTGCAAAATGTCCGGTTCTTGTTAGACCGTGTACTTTTAACCTTTGAGATGCTTCGATACATCTTTGTTGCGGTTGGATTCCTCTTAGTTGCTATCCCAACATCTTCATCTTCATCTTCATCTTCCATCGCCGCTTCTCCTTTCGGGTCGCGGAGGCAGACGCGTCAG